TTTTAAATATATCTTTATTGATTTCAGAGAGAGGAAGGGAGAGGGGGAGAGAGAGATAGAGACATCAATGATGAGAGAGTCATTGATCGAGCCCACAACCCGGGCATGTGCCCTGACTGGGAATTGAACCCCGATCGCCTGGATCCTAGGTCTACGCTCAACCGCTGAGCCACGCCCGGCCGGGCTCCATTATTTCTAGATCTCACACCCCAGAGTCTAAGTTAAATCCCAGCTGGAGTGTTCTGTGCCCTCCATTTTGATCTAACAAGCATGTCTGCTCTATACGTAGAGTGCCGGTGGTGAGTTCTTATCATCCCTGGTCGGCGGTTAGATCAGGGGCTGTGTCTGCTTTGAGCATCACCAATACAGTACCCAGTATCTCGCACATGCTTAATACACAGCAGATGTACAGGAGAGTTAAAGGAATGCCATGTTTGCCCACCTGATTTAGAAAGGATAGGCTAGTAGATTTCGGGGAGGTTGGGAGCTTATTAAATTATTGCTATTTCTACAGTCAACTCTCAACTCTCTGAGTGGTTTACTTTATATGGTATTGGTGGTAGAATTGTAGTTATGTGTTGGCTTCTTCCTTCACATAGACGGGCCACCAGACCCTACGATGAGCTGGCCAGCACCTGGAAGTGTTTCTCAGACTGTGGTCTTAGGAACACCTGTGGCGGCGTCGTGCAGGCACTTTGTTACACAGGCAGGTTGCAGGGCCCAGATGCATTTTTTCCCTGAGCATCTCCAGGTTGCCTAAGAATCTTCAAAATTTGAGAAACTCTTACATGAGGTTTCCTATATGTAGAAGCGTCTAATAGTCAATTATATTATCAAAGGAACATTTCTCAATGGGTAGGTGAGAAGAAACACAACTGGCAGTGGATAAAGTGGGTGTTTTCCTCCTTTTCGTTACAAGTTAGACTGCACATCACAAAGATAAACAGTATTGGTCTTGGATGGATAACCCAGTAGTGGGAGCGTTAAGGCCTGCAAGTGCAAGTCCTTACCTGAGGTATGCCTAGCACGCAAGCTGCCTGGGTTTAGAGAAATCCAAATGACTTTAATGTTAAATGGATTCAAATCAAATTAGGAAAGTCAAGGACCTAATTTCAAAACCACAGAAAATTGGTGTTGGGCCATTATCTCTTTTGCTTTCTTCTAAAAGCAAGCAAAACGATTCCTTTTGTTTGTTTGTTTTATTTATCTTTATTGAAAGTAAAGTTGAAAGTATTACAGATAGTCCCTTTCCCCCCCCATTGATCTGTTCCACCCTGCACCAGCCACCCCCCTGCCGTCTTCCCCATACCATTGTCAGCGAAAGACAAGCATCACATGATCCCACTTACATGTGGAATATAATGAATAAAATAAACTGATGAACAAAATAGGTGCAGAAACAGAAGCACGGAACAGACTGAGGAATCTCAGAGGGAAGGTGGGGAGGGGGGAGAGGGTGGGGAGAGATTAAT